ATGATTTTTAATATCATTTAAAATACATTTAAATAAATTAATTTACTGGAGAAGTTTGGAATCAGGATGGAAATTACATTTCCTGCTAATTTATTAAGCCATTTATCCAGATATTACACCGTTTTAGACATTTTTTTATACTGTTTTCTGACAAGGTTTGCATTTTATTAAGCATGGAAAAAACCCACAAAAATGCATTTATAAGGAAAAATATAAATAACAGGTTTCAATGCATATATCTGGGATTTAATGCGACAAAGGAGTGCTATAATCAAGAAGTTATGAGACAACAATGGGAAACATTTAATAGATAACCTTAAAATCATATACAACTAATGACCTTTAAGACGGGAACTTACTGGCCTACTTTGTGTAATTTCATATTATAAACCAACTGTAATTTTAGGGGGTTGGGATGAATAGAATAACCTATTTCAGGGTTTGTTTGTTTTTTAAATAAAATATTTCTTAAAATAATTCACTGCAGTTGACTTATGTTAAAGGTTTGGAGAGGTTGCAAAAAAAAAAAAAAAATCTAATATGCACCAATTTGCACGTACAACACACAACAGATGTGTCCTTCAGTTATTGGGTTTGAACTGAGGAATTTAGGCCAATTCATGAAGATGCCAAAAGTAAGATTGTCAATTCATCTCAGTTTCTCCAGATGTTTGTTTTCCTTTTGTTATATTGCTTTATTTTTGCTGTAAGCTGCCTAGTAAATGTTTTTTTTTTTTTTTTTTTTTTTAATAGGGGGCAGAAACAGTAAGATTTAACTTTTTTCTTCCTTTTAACTCAAGGGAAATATGTTTTAATTTTTTGCCATGGAGCAATAAATCTGACTGAAATTTGGGCCCAACGAGAAGAGTTCAGGATCCACTGATCTCTACTGATTCATTGGATTGCTGATACTGGGTTGAAGTGAAGCCACCGGCTGCCATATTGGTACTCCCTTGTTACTCCTATTGTTTTTTAAAATGGTTTTGAAAAGTTAATAGTTATATGTTTTTATATTTTTCATTGTAAAATGATTTTTTTTTTTTTTACATCTTTCCAGGGACAACAGCTTAAAAATAGCCTTAAGGCTAATTCTGGTGCATTTGCAGGAATACTTTTTAATGTATAATGTCCCTGTCAAATCTAAAATAGAGATCAGTGAGTAGAAACCTAAACAGAAAATCGCTCTCACAGTAAAAACCCAGGAAAGACATGTTAAAAAATGAAAAAAACAAAACTGACACCGACTTTCAAAACACAATATGAAGGCTTTTGAAGAGCTGTGATAATTAGTCATTCCTAGAGCTTTATTTTACATTTGTTGGTCACGTGTATATATATTTATATATATATATGAGCCAAATAGCGGCAGTCTTGCAAACAAACAAGATACAGAAGTATACCAAGCTTTATTGATCCATACACACGCAATGCAGAAGTTTTTGTAAGTTTGTCAGTAGTGCAACTCGTGCGATAAACAGGGGGGAAAAAAAAAAGAAACGTTTCCACCTTAAAAAGGATCTAATTTCACCAACAGAATACTCAGCCTCTTATTTACATGACGCCCCAGAGGACAAAAGGTGAGGAGTCGACTTTTACAAGGTGCACATTCAAGTTTAAAACACGAGCGGTAACCTCAACAGAAAAAAACCAAAAAGGTGCAGCATGGAGTTTCCAGACTGTACAGATAATACAGAGCATTGGAGGTTTGATGGGGAGAGCACACAGGCCTGGTGTTTAGAACCAGGGCAGACCTCCACACGCTCACAGGCCGTATTCTGTCCCGTTTAGTGCAGGTTGGTCAGAAGAGATTCGAATGACATACGAACAATGAGAGAAGCTTTAAATCCAGCTAAACGGGGAGGAAAATCAAAGCTCTGGTCGGGCGTTTTAGATGAACCCCTGAGCTGTTGGTCTGGAAAAAGCCTAAATTAGATGAAAGAAGTGAAGGCTGTCATAGAGGGACCAGGCTTTTCCAGTAAGCAATAGAAATGACATTTATTGAAAGTGTAGCGACAGATGCTAAGTAGTTTTTCCTTCAGGGTCTCAAACTGTAGAATATAAATGAAGAACTATTTAACATGTAAAACCACCAAACACTGGAGTTTAAATAAATCACAAAACATCTACCGGTATTTGTCATTATCAAACTTCTTATAGTGAGGAATGAAACTGAACCCAAATGAAACTTTCAGTAACTAAAGCTCTCCCTCTGCGCTGTGGATAAAGCAGAGCTGTTTAAAATACTTTTATCTTTATTAACAGAGGTTATGAATTCTAGATTTAAAGAAAATAAAGTTGAGACCCGTCTGCAAAACAGAAAAAAGAAAGAAATAATAAAAAAGCTGAACTAGTTGGTCTGTTAATTGTAGCTGATCCTGACGATAGTGATGCTTTTTTGGTCTTTGACTGAGGGACTGTAGCAGGGATGAAAAAACCCATCAGAAATCTCTCTCCTCCCTGTTAAATCTCCTGAATGAACGAGTCCTTTCACTTTCACAGATACTAGTGGTTTAGTTTCATTCATCTTAAGGTGGACCCGGGAGATCTACGCTCGCGTCGTTCCTGCCTCCTTAGCCTTAAACGCATCAGAGGGCTCACTCTGAATATCAGAGTACGACAACAGCTGGGAATACGACGTGTTTTTAGTGCAGCCTGCTGCCAAACTTTGGGCCCTACGGGGGACGGTGGTGGAGGAGGAGCGGCTTTGCACCAACTCTACCGGAGCAGGATGCCTCCTCAGTGGACAGAGGACTTATTTGGGGATGGGGGGGACCACCACACTATGTGTTGATGATATGAGTAAGACTCTGAGGGTGGAGCAGCTGCCTCTTCTGCTGCTCCTGCACGGCCAGCTGCTGGCTCTGGTCTGATGTGGAGAGCTTGTTGATCAACGGAGACACGCAGTTAGCAGGAATGATCAACCCTGGGAGAAGAAATAAAACGATGGTGACGTCTGTGGAAAATTAACGCTTTAAAATAAATAAATGTGTGCAGCTTACCAACTATCCTCTGTTCATCTTCCGTTCGGAGGCGGACGATCTGCACCTTTACGTTGCTCCCGCTGACCGGAGAAAGCACTTCTTCCAGCTCGTTCCACACGCTGAGCACGGAGCCACACAGGACGTAGTAGGTCCTGCAGCGGAGCCCGACTTCGCACAGCAGACCCACCGACGCCTTCTTACAGTTACCGCGCCTAAAAGAGCAACATCATCACTTTCTGAAAACTCGCCGCTTTGAGCCGCTGCTGGCAGGATGAGGATGGACGGTGAACGTACCAGTATGCATGAGAGCAGATTTTTGCAGACGACTGGTACTGGTCAGTCCAGTGCTGCTTGGCATCTTCTGACAGCACCTGAGAGAAGAAAGAAAAATAAAATATTCAATGCTTCCACATTTACAAACACAAACTTAACACTAGGACTCCCAGAATTC